CAGCAGCATTAAGTTGGTATTTTGTGAGGGCGTTGTCCTTTCCCGGTCGAGACGATCTATTCAAGCTACAACCATATAATATAATGTCTGGTCAGGATTTTTCCGATTGGTGCGATCTGTCTCTAGGTGTACCGCAAGGCGGCATTCTTTCTCCTCTCTTGTTTTCCGTGTTTATTAATCTTCTAACTACCCATCTTCATTGTTCTTAGCACCTCTATGCTCTCTTTAGTAATACTGACAAGCGTCCTTGGCTAAAATTGATATTGATACGCAGCTATTAGTTGTGACTTACAACGTATATGACACTGGTCACAGCGCTTTGGTATAACGGTAAATCTCAGTAAATGCCAGGCTATCGTCGTTGGTAGTCGTCGATTGGTGTCACAACTTAACATATCTGAACTACCATCCAAAAACTACGAAACTATGAAACTATGACTTCAGAACGAGCATCAAGGATTCGGGTTTAATTATCGATCCGTATCTTAGTTGGATATCACAGGTGTCCGAGGTTTGTCGTAAAGTTACAGGCATACTTCGTTCCATCTATCCCCTTAAGTTCTTTCTGCCTCCTTCAACTAAACGCCTTCTCGTCCAATCTTTAATTCTTCCATTATTTGTCTAGGCCGATGTTTGTCTCACTAATATTTCTCAGGAGCTGCTAAACAGGTTGGACAGGTTACTTAACAACTGTATACGATGTATCTTTGGCCTGCGCAAATATGATCAAGTTTTAGAATTTCGTTCTCAGTTAAAGTGGTTGACTATACGCCAGCGCAGGGATTTCCGAATTCCGACCACTCTGTTTTCAGTTCTTAATAATTATTCCTCACCCCTTTATCTAAAAGAAAGATTTCTATTCCGTAGTGACACCACAGAGTAAAGAGTAAAGACCAGAGGGGAAGCTTCATAACAACGTCAAAAATCTATACTTATTCTGATAGGGTTCACCTGATGCATGTGAAAATTTTAAAGAAAAAATAAAAATATTATATAGTTTAAAACAACATGTGTATTCATTGTAACTTAAGATAATATAAAAAATATATAATAACATGCCTGTTATTTGTAACTTAAACTGAAACTGCAAAAATTTTATATTTTGCTTATTTTCATGCTTAGCTTCACATTACATACAGGGTATTTGTGAAATGCTCCCGAAAACGAAAACAGACGACAGTACTTACTATACTTTTGATGATAGGTGAGATATAAAATCGATCCTGATGAAAAAAAATCATCTTTTTACAACGTTTTATTAGATTTATTCATGCTCCATTATGTTAGTACAGTTCAACGAAACGATTATTTCATAAAAACAATAAAAATAGTTAAACATAGAACTAGCAGTGGAATGAATGAATTACAATCAACTGACGAGGGGTCGCAATGTACGCTTGGACGCCGAACTCTTATAGGTCCCGTCACGTAAAAAGAACGCTGGATTTGAACCTGGGCCTTGATCGATAAATCACACAGCGATTTATCGATCTAATTGGTAGTACGAAGGAGGCGCGACGGGGGTACGCTCGCCAGTATTATTGTGGTCATACTTCCCGCGCTTTGTTGGCTTCCAAAATACAGTCGCACACACACCTTACTTTGCACGACTCGCGACGATGGTTTTAAAAAGGAAAGAAAGAAAAATTATTTATATCTATTGTTTTATAACTGAACTAGTGAATGAAAAGGTAAATAGAAGGTGAATAGGGAAAATTGAACAGTAAAGTTAAAAGTGTTGAAGAAGAATACCGAAAAAATTACCATGTTGTCGACTTGATGACGGAAACATTTATCATTTGCATTGATGATGATGATTCCGATGAAGGAAGCTTGAGCGAAGAAGAAAGTGATGATGAAGTAGCATCTAGTAACACCAACACACCGTGGACGTGGCTTCCATGTTCCATGTTCCAACGGTTTAATGAACAGCGTGTCACCCTTAGCTTAAATTTTCTTGTTACAAACTACTTTATTATTTTACGATAGAAATAAAAATAATGCTCAAATAAACATTATCCATTTTTAATTCCAACCTCTTCCAAAGTTCTAAGTAGCTAGTAAAGTACCTATTATGATTCTACAATAAAACAATTAATTATTATTATATTACAAAACAATATCCTACAGCAACTTTTGTGTATCATTTAATGCTTTTCATTTCTTTATTTATGAATAAAAAAAAATGTTAGTTAAAAAGTAAATCTTATAAAATAAGTTGAAAATTGATTCACTTCTTAAAATAAAATTGAGGGGAATTTGTGGAGAATCTGTTGAAGTTTTGTCCTTAAATTGGGGAATTTGATCGGTCAGTCAGTGAGTGACAAAATTAAGAAAATGACTAGTTATAATTCTTAAACTACTGGTTCAAATTTAATGAAATTTGAAATATACCGAGACTTTGCCTACTTGGTTACTGAAAATTCAGGCTTCTAGTTATATCCACAAAGAAGTTATAGGGTTGGGTTAAAATGGCCTGAACTACTTCGAGAAAAGGATGGTATAGCTGTGCCGCTTTTTTGCTCGACTTGGCGGGGGCACGCCAGTGCCCCCAGATAACGATGAAATAGTGTTTAAAATTATATAAGTGAGTACTGAGTACCCAATTAGGTACGTTTATTAATTTCAATATAATTTTTGTAGTAAAGAACTGCTTGTTGCGTCAGGGTACAATTGATTGTGTAATTGTATTAAAAATGACAACCATAACATCTAAATTCCATATGAAGATTAGTCGTAGGGATAACTAAACTTATAGTTATCCCTGTCTGTGGTAGTAGCTCAGTGCTTCAAGGACGAATGAGTCGTAAGCATTTGTTTTGCCGGGAGTTATTGTTAATTTTAGTTTTTGAGACAGTTCCGTGTTGACTATCACGTGCGCGAGAGCGACAGTTCAATCGTTTTGTTTATTACATTCTTGTTGTTACGTTTTGTTTTCTTGTTTTGTTTTAATACTGCCTAACGCGTTTATAGTGCTCGTGAATACGGCAGCATGTTAACGTGCCTTGGAGAATCTCATAAGATTTAGATCAGTAAGCTGTTTCATACCTATTTTTTTTAAATAACTTAGTACTGAACTCATCTGACTAGGTAAATAACTGAACACATCAGAATAATAAACATATACCTACACAAAAATTATGACTCTAACCTTGTTAACATTTCATTTTAGCGGGGAATCGAACCAGATATTTGGTTTATTTAACCTGTGAATAAAGTTACTTAGTGGAGACAAGCAAAGTGGCAAAATAGTAGATTAAGTAGATAAGTATTTAGACAAGTATTGTAAATAATTAGGTATTACAGTATTGCCGTATTTATAGTATTGCGCGGATTAGGCGTCAATTCTGCGCGACAATAGGGTCAATAAACCTATTGTCAGCTGATTTCATTTAAGTTCCACTGCTGGTTTTATGTTTAAGTATTTTTATGGTTTTTTTTATAGAATTTATCGTTTCATTTAGCTGTACTAATATGATGGAGCGTTAATAAAACTTTGTGAAAAGATGATTTTTTTTCTTCGGGATCAATTTTCTTCCTGCCCATGATCAAAGGTATCGTTAGTACTATCGCCGGCCTTTGTTTTCGGGAGGGTTTCAAAAACACCCGGTATATCTATATTTCTATCAATATCATTTTCGTAAGACAGCGTATTCATGAGTACAAAAAAATCAGGTGGTAGTAGTAATGACTGTGATGATGGTAGTGAGCAGTGGCGATGGTGGTGGTGTATCAACACCACCACCACCGCCACCACTTGCGAATAATTTATAAAACAACTACAATTTCTGCCAGTTCAATCTACTGTACTGTGTGTACTTTTTTACAATTAAATGAATTTTTATGTTAATCACTATTTTCTTACTTTAAACTTATTGAAAATTATTTTTAACTTTTATTTCAATATTACTTTAATTATAGTTTTTAGTATTGAAATACAAAAATACTTTTTGGTTCGGTTATATACTAAAGCGTGGTTTTTTAATTTTTTTAAACTATTATTTATATTTATTCAGCTGTGGCGGCTCTATCGTCGCGCTACAAGCGAAACATATCGACACCACACCAGTAGTGACATGTATAAAAGCTGCTCCTTTTGCTGTTTTTATTTCATTCATATTTTTGGAGATATTAATTTTTTGTTTTCACACTACCGTGAATATTAACGGTAGCAAAGATTCGAAAGAATAGAACTCATCATCGTTATCATTACAACCTATTAAAAGTCCACTGAATTAAACATAGGCCCATAACGTGGCAAATAGGCTGGATATTTCCTATAGTTGCCACACTTGGCAGGCGGGTTGGCAAACGCAGGATTTAATTATTTTGAACTGTTGTCAGAAAGATGAAGTTGCCCAACTCCTGTTTGTTTTCCCTTATCACCTCTTAGGACACATACGGAACGATATGACGTGAAGGATTCTCTTTCGCCGCCACGACAAGGCAAACATCTTTCTGCTTCAGATCATGAGTATAGTTCTACCCACGTTCACTGCGAATAGAAATTCATTTGCAATAAAAGTAATCTTAAGGACTTTATCCTGTTAATTTTAACTGTTTTCTGAGGAGGGTGGGGAATGATGGAGGGTGGAGGCTGAGTTGTTTAACGTCCTGATTTCATAATTTACGAAGGCTACAATCAACTTTTAAATCCCAAGTAGATGGTAGCACCCAGCCATCTTCTCTATTGAAGCTAGGATGTTTTTAATTTAGTTGCCTCGCTAATCATCTTTAGCAATCTAAAATAGAATTTTGCTAAATTTGGCACGGAATAGCATTTAATGATGTTTCTGAATTGAAGACCACGCGAGCGAAGCCGCGGGTAAGAAGATAGTAAATATATAAAATTGTTAATTGTAGATACTGTAAGAGCGGGTACACACAGAATTTCGTTGGAACGCGCGTTGCGCGGGCGTCAGCTGCGCGCTTGTAGATACATGCACCGCCATTTTGCTGAACATTTGATCGCGCGCTTTCGTGTAGGGTGCACGTATATCATGGAGATCGAACACTTCGATACAGATTTATTTATCGACGAAATCCAAAAGCGTCCAGCTATATGGGACATGCAAAGTCCAGATTATAAAAATAAAATATTAAAAAAACGTAATTGGGAGGAAATAGTTGAAATTTTTAGTGACTGTGAAGACAATTTGGAAAAGAAAAAACTGTTGGGTGAGTATAATTATTTATTGATGTTTTCTATAATTATATCATGTTGTTTTGCCACTGTAATTTTCCCTCGTTCACAAAATAATTGGCAAATTTTTCTCTTCCTGTTCTAGCACATAAGCTGCCTCGTGCTAAATTTTCTAAATGTATAGATTGTAGAGGTGAAACATAAAGTGTATCTTCATATCTGTAACCATCGCGCATTCGAACGTAATTATGTAGTACTGTGCAAGCTTTGATGATACTCTCCGCGAAATCTATGTTTACATCTATCGGTCTATGAAATATTCGCCATTTATTGCTCATTATTCCGAAAGTACATTCAATATAGCGCCTTGCTCTCGATAATCTGTAATTGAAAACTTTTTTTGTGTGTGTGAGTTGTGTTCCTCCATACGGCCGCATCATATTCGACATAATTCCAAATGCTTCATCGCCAACGAACACATGAGGCAATGGAGTTCTATCGATATTTGATATAGGCTTGGGGTTAGGAATGTTTAACCTATTATTCACAATCCGTTTAAAAAATTCGGAATTTTTAAAAATAGCAGAATCACTGGTTTTGCCATAGGATCCGACATCAACATATACAAAACAATAATTTGCATCACAAACTGCTAGTAAGACTGATGAGAAGTATGTTTTATAATTGTAAAAAAGCGACCCTGTATGTTCTGGTTGTATTAGCTCAATATGTTTCCCGTCAATCGCACCAATACAATTTGGGAAGTTAGCGTATTTCTTAAAACCTTCTTCTACTTCTTTCCACTTTTCTGTTGTCATTTCAGGCATAGATGTAAACTTCAATTTGCTCCATAGTACTTTACAAACTTGTTCCACTATCTTTATAATTGTCGATTTTCCAAGACGGTATCCGTAATGCAAATCAGCGAAAGATGTAGCCTGTGGCCAAGTATCTGTCAAAATAAAAATGGTTATTGTTTATTTTCAGATGGTACACTTATGAAAAAATGGAAAAGCATTCGGGACAATTACCTTAGAGAGTCTAAGAGGCAAAAAAGCTTCCATCTGGATCTGGATCTTCCAAACATACGCCATATGTGTATTACAGGAAATTACAATTTCTTGCGAATTCTACAGCATATAACGACATAGAGAGCAATTACCAATCTTCTGGCACAGCTGGTTTAGATGTAGATAATATTATAGATAATGCAGACTTGATGCCACCTCCTAAAGATCAAATGGAAGGCCCAAGGAAAAGACAGAAAATAAATGCTGTAGATAAACAAATAGTCGACACTTTATAGAAAAGTTTAAATGCAAGGGAACAAAATGAAATGGGGCGACTAACTAAAGAAGACGATGATAAACTATTCTGTTTATCATTGTACAGGGAATTAAAAAAAGTGCCCGAAAATCGACGCTTAACTACAAAGATTGAATTACTCAATGTCATTAAAGAAGCACAGAATTATCATCAATCATTACCACTAGAAACTAATCATCACCAATACACATATTCTACACCGACATATTCTGGATATACTGCTGCTAGACCCTCAACAACACAACAGTGGTCTACCACGCCGCCACCACCGCCGTCATCATGGTCACCGTCACGTTCAGCCTCCAGCCAAGATTCAGACAACTTAGATTTATTTGAATAAACAAATATACTTACCTTAACGTTATCACGAGTTTTTCTTCTGCGGAAATTGAATCTCTCAAAATCGTTGAATCACCAGTAATATCTACTTTAATAACATGGAGTAAGTCATCAAATGATTTTATAGACAATCTAAAATAATTAAAAGACTTAGGTTCATATTGCCTTAATTTTGGATACAATGTTAGAAACATTCCATGCGTCAGTCTATCTCGTAATATTGGGTGCACCCAATATTCTCTTTGCTTTTGCCGTCTTCTTTTATAGCGACGGTATAGAAGCCACACACAAGCGATCACTTCGAAGTCCATTTCCGAACTGAACTAGTAGTATGGACACCTTGGTAACGCTCGTTAAACGCCGTGCTAAGCGAGCTGTATGTATGCTACAAGCGCGCGCCCAACGCAACGCCGAGCGCCCAATGTGTACCCGCTATTATTATATATTTGTTGTTTGTCAATGACATGTTATTTCTTATTATCCATTAATTACCGATACCGATAGATATAGCTTATTAGACTCCACTGCTGAACATAGGCCTGGCTCACAGATTGCCTCATAATTTCCCCATATTTGACATAGTTTCTACGCTTGGTAAGCGGGTTGGTAACCAAAGTTTTTTATTTTAAGTCACTATCACTAAGACGCTGTTGATTTGTTTCCCTCTGTCGTCTCTTACGACACTCACTCTATTAATTATTAAATTTATAGACCTTTTGATATTTTTTAATGAAATTGTAACTTATGTACCAACTATATAAAAATAATAGACCCCCAGAGTTTCTTGTTGGTTTATTATTCTACTTATTAATAATTAATTCTTTCTTTCACTGCCAGTCAGATCATAGAGATTTTCTTGAATGGAGCCGAATTGCGCACACGATAGAAGATTATTTGACAAAACGGATATTAACATTTTTTTCTAAGAATCTTTAAAAGTTAGTTATATGGCAAAAGGTCGATAGAAATTCACAGTCCCTATTATCATCATTACGAACAGGATGCATGAGTAAACGTTTAAATTTAACAGTTAATACTTCTGTACCGATGGATTGCGATTGTATTAAAGTGCTGGTCACTTAGTAATCTATGGTGTGCTGATGTGAGGATTTTATTGAATCTAAGTCACCTGAAATGTTGCCATTCTCTGTGGTTTTTAAAACTTAATATTTTTTATTCTTGCAGTTGTATGTAGAATGAAGAGCAATAAAATGTGAAAAAAATAATTGTTAATAGCCGTCGATTACATACGCTATTATTTTGTTACAATTTAAATGTCATACATACACGAGTAAGTTTCATTTTCAGAAATTTCAGTAGAATTTTTTTTATAGACACGCTAGAAACTGTTGGAAATTTTAGAAAATATTAGAGATAATCTGAGCAACGGAAACCTACTTTACGCATGTTCTAGCATGCTCTTAGTTATTTTTTCGTTTGTTAAACACACATTTGCAGCAAATTCGAAACGGGGATTAAGATGAAATGTCTCATGTTACTGAACCGCTTAATGAATCATTATGTCGTGAAAACTTATACATAATAACAGTCTCTTGTTCTATAAAGATTCAAAATTCAGCACAATAATGTTGGTAAACATAAAAAAATACTTGCATTGTGCCATTCGAATACTATTGCAAAAAACTATTTTATTTCTACACATTCATTTTCTTTAAATATAAAATAAAAAGCAAGGGGTTTCCATCAAGGTGGAATCAAAATCCAGACTAGGAAATGTTGGTGGTAAAATCCCTAGTACGTTTATAACGAAAAAATTTGTAGATTTAATATACTGGATACGTAGGTAACTGTCTTAAAACTATATCCGAGAGCTATTGCTTCCTTTAAAGAGAATTATCCGGTTTCTTCTAAATTTAACTCCAAAACAAGGAATAGAATTTAAAATAGTATTTTTTGTAAATAATGTTACTATTAAACAAACATACTTAAATATTTTATTCATTAATATATGTAATTTAAAATCTTTTGTATGTAGATTTTCAAGAAACGTAATCTTAGTGCCATTTTATTTTTATACATAGAAAGCATAAAGTTGGATTCAAATTATATGTAAGACACCATTTTTATATTTTGCTGACAAAGGTTTACGTGAAGATTCCATAAGTATTTCAGCTAAGAAGCTTAATATCGAAAACGCAATTTCATAGTCTGATGGATGTGTGCTTTGCTATGCAATTGAATTTAAATAGGTCCTTACATTATGATAGGTTTAACTTGAGTAACGTTACATTTTATTTTTACCGTTTTATATTCGAGTAAATTACATATTATTTACAACATGCAGCAAAAACCCTGTACTTCCCGTTAAGTGCGTTATTAGTATCAGTATTCAAATGTATAGAAATAACATTGTTTCAGTAAATTCGATCATAAAAAAACAAATAATATTTAAATAAATTTTTATTTGCAAATTTTATGTAGGTTTATTACCCCTTTTTTGCGTTTGCTTTGGCTGGGGATCATTTAGTTTTTGAGATGTTAGTGCTGTTAGCCAGTTAGTTTTTACAGCTTCTGTGGACTCAGGGATCGCGGCCTGCATAAAAAGAGGAACTGATGTGATGATGATGATATTGGGAGTAAAAGTATTATCAAAAAGCCTGCTATACCGATGCGCGTGTCAGTTAGTTCAGATGTGTACAACATTTTTAACAAGATTGAATTTAGTAAGTTACCTATTGTGAACAATAATATCCCTTTAATGACTACCAATGAAATTTTCACTGTCATAAATGCCAATCCTATGTATGTACATATACGTCCCTAAAACGACCACCGGGTTATTTGTAAGATACTGTATATTTATTCAATTCTTTAAAGTATTCATTAAAACTTGACACAGACTGCTGAACATTGGTGTCTACTAGAGGATTTGCCGTTATCGTCACGATTGGCTGGCAAATTGGCTATTGCATTACCAGACGTCTGACACCTGATACTGCGTCTTAGTTGATAGTCTTAGTATTTACATATATACAAATAAATAAAATTGAAGTGTCTGTTTGTAATGTTAAAATAACAGCTTTTTACTATATGCATATGAATGTATATACGGTACTTATAACAAAAACACAATTTTTAAAATTTTTGTCTGTCTGTCTGTTTGTTCCGGCTAATTTCCGAAACAGCTGGACCGATTTCAACGGGACTTTCACTGGTGTTCTAAGGAGTAACTTAGGCTAATTTTATTTTAGAAAAAGAATCAGGGTTCCACGCAAAAAAATAAAACCCCTAACACGCGAGTGAAGTCGCGGGCAACAGCTAGTTATATAAAACACAATGCATGCAGACTGCAAGGAGAAAGAATTTTTTTTAATTTGCAATAAAAATTATTGAGCGTCGCTTATCTCTTAAGTTGGAGTACTTAAGCAATACACATTTTCAAAATTTCATTAAAATCGTTGAGTGGTTTCGGAGTTCATCGCGGATAAACAATGTGATACGTAATTTATATATATATAAAAAATATAATATATTATTTATGTGATTTGTTTCGCCGCCATCGATTTAAAGGCTTTAAAATTTTCTGAGCATTTCTATGATGTTGCGGTGGATAATAAAATTCTCTGTTTATTACTTTTTATTACCGTCATGAAAACAAATTTTGCAATAACTGATTTGGAATAAGTTTTAGCAGTTTAGTTTTTTTAATTCCATTTTATCACAAGCAAAAGTAAAATATTATATTACTTAGGTAAATAAACTTTTTTAAAAGATGACCACCTTGACGCAAATAAATAGATCAATTGCGTTAAATTTGTCATCATAGCCGCTCATGTATTATACATATTTTGATGCATTGTGAGTGCGATGTGATGTTAGCAAGAATTACTATTTCAAAACTAAACGAAGCTTCCATGAAACCGATCTATTGTTATGCTTTCAAGTCATCTTTTATTACGGGACGAAATGGAGAGATGGATTTTCATAAGCCGTCGCCATTCGGAAAAGTTTAGGACGTATGTTGCGCCAACTCTCGCCTCATGCTGTCACAAATATCTGTAACGAGTACATAGTACATACATAAACACTCACGCCTGTCACCCAGAGGGGTAGGCAGAGACTACGGACTTCCATTTGGCGCGATCCTGACACACCTCTCTCGCCTCTTTTACATCCATATATCTACGCATACACGCTCGTCGGTTAAAGGTACTACTAATCTGGCCCATTTTTAATGTATCGCCGATTTGGTCGATAAACCTCCGTCTAGAGCGTTCCTTCCCGACCCTGCCGTTCATTTCTGCAACATAAATTTGCTTTGTCACTCTTTTCTCGTTCATTCTTTCTACATGATCAAACCACCGAAGCATTCCTTTCTTAATCCTTGTCGCAACGTCATCTTGCAAACCACACTTTTCTCTTATCACACTATTTCTCACCCTGTCATTCAGATTTTACCCTAGCATACTCCTTAAGGACCGCATTTCTACAGCATTTATTCTACTCTCATGCTTCTTCTGCCAGACCCAACTTTCACTACCATACATTAAAGTAGGGACTAACACAGCATTATGAATTGCCATACGTGCCTTATTTGACACATTCTGACTCCTCATAATAGCGTGTAGAGCCCCATTCACTCTATTTCCTGCGTTCACTCGTCGTTATACATCCTTATCATATCTACCATCCCTGCTAAATAAACATCCTAAATGTAGAAACTCATCCACTTGCTCAATCAACTCCCCTTCTATTCTTATTTCACATAAAGTTTTACTTTCTTCTCTTTCAAAAACCATCACTTTCGTCTTACTTGCGTTCACTTTCATACCCCTTTCTTTCAATGAACAATTCATTAAAGTAACCATCCTTTGCAACTCGGCCGCCGACAATGCAAATATGACTTGAGCATCGGCGTACAAAAGGCATTTGACGGTTGACTCACCCACATTCTTCAACTTTCAAAGTTTGCAAACAACTGTCCATAAATAGGTTAAACAGCCTCGGGGAAGCCACATATCCCTGTCTGACACCTTTATG